AACACAATTTCTAATTAATATTTTTCCGAGTATGATGTATTTTCACCTTTAGGTCCACACATTTTACAAGATACAGAACTCTGACGTCAATGTGTGGAGACAATTCTGAGTTATTTACTTTCTACAAAAATTGATTGTTTTCACCTTGTTTACATAAACTGAAGGAAAATGGACATAAATGCTAAACCAAACTTTTACATGCCCTAATCCAAACCAAACCTTTTTATACCCTGATCCAAACCAAACCTTTCATCCCCTGATCTAAACTACTCCTTTTTATACTCTGATCTGAACCACTCCTTTTTAGACCCAGATCCAAACCACTCCTTTTTTAACCCTTCTCCAAACTAAACCTGTATATACCTTGATCCAAATCACTCTTTTTTAACCCTGATCCAACCCACTCTTTTTTTAAGCTGATCCAAACCTCTCCTTTTTAACCTGATCAAAACAACTCCTTTTTTAGCCCTGACGCAAACCACTCCTTTTTTAACCTAATCCAAACCACTCCTTTGTATACCCTGATCCAAACCAAACCTTTGTATACCCTGATCTAAACCAAACCTTTGTATACTCTGATCCAATCCAAACCTTTGAATACCCTGATCCAAACCAAACCTTTGTATACTCTGATCTAAACCAAACCTTTGAATACCCTGATCCAAACCAAACCTTTGTATACCCTGATCTAAACCAAACCTTTGTATACTCTGATCCAATCCAAACCTTTGAATACCCTGATCCAAACCAAACCTTTGTATACTCTGATCTAAACCAAACCTTTGAATACCCTGATCCAAACCAAACCTTTGTATACCCTGATCTAAACCAAACCTTTGTATACTCTGATCCAATCCAAACCTTTGAATACCCTGATCCAAACCAAACCTTAGTATACCTTGATCTAAACCAAACCTTAGTATACCTTGATCTAAACCAAACCTTAGTATACCTTGATCTAAACCAAACCTTAGTATACCTTGATCTAAACCAAACCTTAGTATACCTTGATCTAAACCAAACCTTAGTATACCTTGATCTAAACCAAACCTTAGTATACCTTGATCTAAACCAAACCTTAGTATACCTTGATCTAAACCAAACCTTAGTATACCTTGATCTAAACCAAACCTTAGTATACCTTGATCTAAACCAAACCTTAGTATACCTTGATCTAAACCAAACCTTAGTATACCTTGATCTAAACCAAACCTTAGTATACCTTGATCTAAACCAAACCTTAGTATACCTTGATCTAAACCAAACCTTAGTATACCTTGATCTAAACCAAACCTTAGTATACCTTGATCTAAACCAAACCTTAGTATACCTTGATCTAAACCAAACCTCTGTTTAAGGTTTACCCTGTTCCAAACCAAACCTTAGTATACCTTGATCTAAACCAAACCTCTGTTTAAGGTTTACCCTGTTCCAAACTTGTCTAATCATTATTATTCTCTTTTCATTTAGAATTTCATTTAATTATTTTTTAATATTCTAGCACTTTAAGTTGCACTATATCGCAAAATATAAAAAAAAGCTTTCCAATCAGTATATTTTGGCCTTAATGCTGACGGTGTGGACGGTGCTGACGGGGTTGAAAATATTGGAAAATTTTAATGAAATATTGCTGACGCAGGACATACTTTACTTAATGTGCGTCAAGCTTTAACACCTTCCCTCTATACCTGGCATATTTAAACACCTTCCCTCTATATCTGGCATATTTAACTCCTTTCCTCTATACCTGGCATATTTAACACCTTCCCTCTATACCTGGAATATTTAACTCCTTCCCTCTACACCTGGCATATTTAACATTAACACCTTCCCTCTATACCTGGCATATTTAACTCCTTCCCTCTATACCTGGAATATTTAACTCCTTCCCTCTATACCTGGCATATTTAACATTAACACCTTCCCTCTATACCTGGCATATTTAACTCCTTCCCTCTATACCTGGCATATTTAACACCTTCCCTCTATACCTGGAATATTTAACCCCTTCCCTCTATACCTGGCATATTTAACTCCTTCCCTCTATACCTGGCATATTTAACATTAACACCTTCCCTCTATACCTGGCATATTAAACGTTAAAACCTTCCCACTATACCTGGCATATTTAACATTAACATCTTCCCCCTATACCTGGCATATTTAACACCTTCCCCCTATACCCGGCATATTTAACATTAACACCTTCCCTCTATACCTGGCATATTTAACATTAACACCTTCCCTCTATACCTGGCATATTTAACTTATCACCTTCCCCCTATACCTGGCATATTTAACATTAACACCTTCCCCCTATACCTGGCATATTTAACACCCTTCCATCAACTGTCTGTTTTTATAATACAATTTTTTACGCAAACTTTTTTCTCGTGCAATTAGTGCAATTTGTGCATGCAAGTTGCGTAAAAATCATTCCGTGCAATTTCTGCATTTGCTTTTATTCCAATAAAAAAGGTTTTTGACTTAAAAACTTCTAAAAAAAATAATAAGATTTTAATGTTTAAAGACTTTCGAAAGTCAACTCGTTCACAGAAGCTCAACAAAATTAAGTATTCTTTAAAAAGCTTTTAATTTATTTTGGATTCTTCTTGTTTAGGAATTTATACAAATTAACGAGTGAGGGTGTGGGTCTGGAAAGATATAATAGTATTCAAAGAGGAACTGTTTTGTTTCTACCCATAACATGTTAAAAAGCCTCCCCCCCCACCGACCCACCAAAAATGCTGATAATAATATGTCAGACTAAAAAAGTATAAGTGGAATACAGTCATTAAACATTTGTATAGCTGAACATTTAATTCTATTTATTTTATATGTTACTGAACATGAGAGGTGAAATCAGGACAAACGCATTTAAGAGAATTATCGCACACCTAATTATGTGGGACCTGGCATGCCACTAGATGTGGCTCGAGTCAAAACTATCTAAACTAAGAAAAATCCCATATAAATATTTTTATTTAAACTTGGACGTATTTATTACAATTTGCTGGCAATTAGTATTGAATATTCATTTCCAAGACAGTTTTATCTGATTAATTTGATGCATTTTTACAGATTTATATATTTTTAAAAGCATTTTTATTGATTGATTGTATCAATAGATTTCTCTTTAACGGCCTCTAGGAGAAAATCCGTATTTCTCTCCTCAAGCCATATGAGTAAAGGTTTTTAAGAAAATAATATTAAAAAAAGAAAAACTTGAACTGGTTTAAGTAAACAAATGAAAAAAGGGCCCTTTGATATTGTATCAAAAAACTAGTTCCCAACCCGTAAGTCCTTAAACGTCACAATTAAATGTGTACACATAAACTCTACCTACCTTTAGTAAACATATATCCTTGATCGTTACTAAGAAATTAAACACAGTCCTTTTTGAATCTGATTCATAATAAGTTTATAAACCAAGGAGTTGAAGAAAGTTTGAGTACTTGAAGGAACTTTGCTGAGGGGAGTTTAGCGGAAGTAAGAATTCATCTCATCTTTAAACTTCTCCATTGATGGGGGGGGGGTTAATAAACTTTTCACTTAGAGCAGAACACAGTTTTGACAAACTTGCAACAAGTTGAGTCAAAGTACATTTATACGTGTATCTATAGAAATGAAGTATTAATGTCCGTTTGTTAGGTTTTTTGGAAGATGCCCGATCATAACTCAAGAATCCCTTAACCGATTCACCACAAATTTTGATTGGAAGAAACACTGAACTATTCTCCGCTTAGTTTGAACATTCTAAGTTGATTGGGTTGTCTTTTATAGAGAAAACTCTAAGCAAAGCTTGGTTAATTCTTTAATATGTTCTTTATTAATGACGTATCAAGGAAAGAAGTACATTATTAGGTCTAAATGAAATTTCTTTAATGCACTTTACACGGAATTTATACATTTTGTGATAGAAAAGTTTATGAGTCCTCGTAGTTTTGACAGCAGCCCCGGGATTTCTGTATCAATTAATTTTACATAATTTTAGACTAGTAGATATTTTATAATAATAGAACGAACGCAGTAAAAGTTTTAATAAGTTTGAATAAATCTAAGATGGAATTTAAAGAATTTGAGCCGCGGTTTAAATCTACCAAAACCCGGTTTAAATTAAGCGCCGGCTTAAATCTTGAAACCTTTGATACAATTTTAAGTGGAACCAACCATATTTAAGCCGCGGCTTAAATTTAAACCACCGCTCAAATTCTTTAAATTCGGCCACTATTTATATTTTTTTTACAAGAAAAATAGAAGATTGATTACTCATACACGACACAGTCAAAAAAAAATTGAAATCCTCTTTTTAGAGAAACAAACCAAACTAAAACTTATACAGCGATCGAGTTGATCTTTTATAATCCCCTCAATTTACATTCAATAGAAAAATACACTTAAATGCATAAATGCATAAATATTTATTTACAAATAAATTAGAAGAAGTATCTATACTAAAATTGTTTCTTCTGTGCACAGCTGAATAGCCAAGTAGGCCTAAGTAATTTCAACTCTGAAACATTTTTTTTTACTTGCAGTGGGGTTTCTTCGAAATAAAAATGTTGATGTCATAAACATAAAAATATTCTAGTGAGAATTTAGGTTGGTATAATTTACTTTATATAGAGTAATTAATTTGGAGATCACTAAAGCCCTGTACTTTTTCCCTCTCCTTTTACGCTCTTTCTGGTCCCCTCCCCATCCCTCTCAATAACCCGTCCCTCTATACATTTACATCATGTATCTGAGAAAGTTAGGATAAAGGTTGATAATGTTTAGATGCTATATTATCCGTCCTACATTTATTTGTTCACTTATCATTCATTTGATGCAAAAGAAAATCTTAAACTCAAATTATTTTACTGTCATAAAAAAAGACTAAAAAGCATCATTGCAGTATGGCAGGAAGTGTAATAAAACACCCTTGTCCTAAAAAATCCCTAACCTGCACAAATATAGTTCTTTAGAGTGTTTGAAAAAAACCACTGAGAGTACAGGGTACAACCACAGAAAGTAGATACTGTACAACCACAGAAAGTAGAAACTGTACAACCACAGGAAGTAGAAACTGTACAACCACAGAAAGTAGAATCTCAACATCATTGTCCTACAGCCTACACGGGTATAAAATCCAATTCACTATACAATTCGTCCCTTATCAAGTCCTGGTCACAACGTTCAAACCACCAGCATAATCAAAAGTAAAATATCTTAGCAAAAAAAATAGTATTAGTACTTTTTTTCTTACCACAGCACTCGGCAATAACCCTAAAAAATATTAGAATTCTTCACAGGAAAAGTAAGGGAAGATAAGAAATGTTTAAAACAGAAAAAATGGCTTATAGGGAAAAAGGGAAATATCTGGAAGAAAAATGTCTGTTAGGAAAAATGACTTCTCGAAAAAAAGACAAGAGTAAGTTGATTATAAAACCAATTTCCAGGATGAAGATGGCAGGATCCTGTTTATCAGCAGCCCCCGCCTGGATTAAAGAGAATATGCTTCTAGTTGCAACATTCTCAGGTAGGCAGTAGGCAGTAGGCAGTAGACATTGGGCACTAGTTAGTAGGTAGTAAGTAATAGGCCATAGGCAGTATGACGGTAGGCAGTAGATAGTAGACATTGGGCACTAGGTAGTAGGTAGTAGGTAGTATTACATTAGGCAGTGGACATTAGGTAGGCTTATAGGCAGCAGGCAGTAGGCAGTAAGGCAGTAGGCAGTGGGTAGTAAGTAGGCTATGGGTAGTAGGCAATAGGCAGTAGGCAATAGGCAGTAGGTATCTTATATTGGTTCCCTATAACTAGGTGTACTGGTTGGTGTTGTTGCTGGAATGTTACTGCGCCCTCTGGAACTGACAGAGGTATTAATTTCCCTCTAATGTACTCCCTCTAATGTACTCCCTCTAATGTAGTCCCTCTAATACGCTCCCTCTAATGTACTCCCTCTAATGTACTCCCTATAATTTACTCCCTCTCATGTACTCCTTCTAATGTACTCCCTCTAATGTACTCCTTTTAATATAATTCCTCTAATGTACTCCCTCTAATGTACTCCCTCTAATTTACTCCCTCTAATATACTTCCTCTAATGTACTCCCTATAATGTACTCCCTCTAATTTACTCCCTATAATGTACTCCCTCTAATGTACTCCCTCTAATGTACTCCCGCTAATGTACTTCCTCTAATGAACTCTCTTGTGTAGGAAACCATACTACTGCTGGCCTACCCAGGGGAACTCTTTATGAGGCTTCTCAAGGTAAACAACTATTCATTCTTCATCCTTTTATCATCTTCTCGAGGTAAGCAACTATTCATTCTTCATCCTTTTAACAGCTTCTCAAGATAAAAAAACTATTCATTCTTCATCCTTTTATCATCTTCTCAGGGTAAACAACTATTCATTCTTCATCCTTTTAACATCTTCTCAAGGTAAACAACTATTTATTCTTCATCCTTTTAACATCTACTCAAGATAAGCAACTTTTCATTCTTCATCCTTTTATCATCTTCTCAAGGTAACAATTATTCATTCTTCATCCTTTTATCATCTTCTCAAGGTAAGCAACTATTCATTCTTCATCCTTTTAACATCTTCTCAAGGTAAACAACTATTCATTCTTCATCCTTTTATCATCTTCTCAAGGAAAAAAACTGTTCATTCTTCATCCTTTTATCATATTCTCAATTTTTCATTCATTTATTTACCTATCCATCCTTTGATATCTTTCACTTTGTTTTTTCCAATTCATCCTTTGTTTTCCATCATTTATCCTTTAACCTATTCATCCTTTGATTTCGTTCATTTATCCTTTAACCTATTCATCCTTTGATTTCGTTCATTTATCCTTTAACCTATTAATCCTTTGATTTCGTTCAATTATTCTTTAACCTATTCATCCTTTGATTTCCATCATTAATCCTTTAACCTATTCATCCTTTGCATCCTTTGATTTCCATCATTTATCCTTTCACCTATTCATCCTTTGATTTCGTTCATTTATCCTTTAACCTATTCATCCTTTGATTTCCTTCATTTATCCTTTAACATATTCATCCTTTGATTTCGTTCATTCATCCTTTAACCTATTCATCCTTTGATATCATTCATTTATCCTTTAACATATTCATTATTTGATTTCGTTCATTAATCCTTTAACCTATTCATCCTTTGCATCCTTTGATTTTGTTCATTTATCCTATAACCTATTCATCCTTTGATTTAGTCCATTTATCCTTTAACCTATTCATCCTTTGATTTAGTTCATTCATCCTTTAACCTATGCATCCTTTGTTTTCCATCATTTATCCTTTAACCTATTCATCCTTTGATTTCCTTTATTTATCCTTTAACTTATTCAGCCTTTGATTTCGTTCATTAATCCTTTAACCTATTCATCCTTTGCATCCTTTGATTTCCATCATTTATCCTTTAACCTATTCATCCTTTGATTTCGTTCATTTATCCTTTAACCTATTCATCCTTTGATTTCCTTCATTTATCCTTTAACCTATTCATCCTTTGATTTCGTTCATTCATCCTTTCACCTATTTATACACCTAATTCTTTCATTCATCCTTTGATATCTTATATTCATCCTTTAACCTATTCATCCTTTGATTTCCATCATTTATCCTTTAACCTAATCATCCTTTGATTTCGTTCATTCATCCTTTCACCTATTTATACACCTAATTCTTTCATTCATCCTTTGATATCTTATATTCATCCTTTTACCTATTCATCCTTTGATTTCCTTCATTTACCCTTTGACCTATTCATCTTTTGAATTAGTTGATTCACCTGTTTAATTATACATACATTGTCATTCTTAGATTTTTATTTTACTCATCTTTTGTCTTTTTTCATTCATTTATTAATCTTTACATTCTAAAATCTTTTATTCATTTTTTCAAATTTGTATTTTTTATTTTTTTCATTTACTCGACAATTCATCAACTATTCATTTTCATCAACTTTGTTTTATGAATTTATGAATAAGAAATTAATATATACCTTTCATTATTATTCATTTATTTGCATACACAACATGTTTTCAAAGCCTTCAAATATGTTGAGGAGAATAGATGAAAAAAAATAATAAAAAAATAATAAATTCGTAAAATTTATAAATTAATTAAAGGATTTAAAATCTATTTTGTACCTGATTTATCTCAAATCCGTGACNTTATAAAATACTCAGAAGTCAGAGCACAGAGCGTTTTCATATTTGATTCTGATTTTATTCTGTATTCAGATTCTTTAATTAAGATAAGAATAACAATCAATAACACTGTTATTTTGGTTGGCAGTGTTATAAAGTTTTTATCGAGAAGGTTTAAGCCTTTTAAGATATAATTAACATAATCTAAAAAGGCGAGAACCTTCAAGATATAGAGAAAATGTAAATCCCAAAATTGTATACCACCTCGTGCCAAAATAATAGTGATTTTATGAAATGTGTGTCTACTTGTCTTATTTCAATGGCTATTTCTAGATCAAATAAGTTTTGAAACAAAGCAAAAGTCAAAATATAAAGTTGATTTCCATTTCCTTTTCATTTCAATTGACAAAAAAAAATAATTTTAGAAAAATATCCAAATTTTTTTTCAGAAAATCCGGGAACCAATCGTTATGAAATTCACGATGAAGTGAGGAAGAATGATAAAGTACACAATCGTTTCATGAAATTATTTAAACTTAATTTACTATATTTCAAATATTTAAATTATATTCAGAATTAATTTGTATTTTGATTATTGAAAAAGCTGTTAAAAACAGTGCAAAATAATTATTCAAAATATTCAACGTATATATACATTTTTTAATAAATCATGAACTTTTGCATTATTTAAAAACCTTCTTCCTTACACATTTCTTAATGCAAAAATAAATTAATTTTTAAAAACCATTTTCTTATCATTTCAGCTGATGATACTACCACCTAATTACTGGATCTGCTAGTCTCAATGCTAAGGTAAAAAAAGTTTAATAATTTACTTATTTTCTAGTAAATATTTGTATACCTTTGCAATGTTAATTTACCTGCTTGTGAGTATTTTTTTCGTTCATTGCGTGAACTTATCTGGTTGTTTCTCTGAGTGATTTATTAATATTTCAGAAAATTTACATGATTTCGGAATGGTGAAAAGAATTAATACAATTTTGTAAAAGCTCAGGGGTTAAAATTTTCATCCTTAGTTGGTAACCCTGTTTAATAGAGATAGCAATGTTCTATTTTCTGTGTTTTCTTTACTTGTTTACTTAGATTAGATAATTGAATAATTTGATGTAATTGTACTTTTCCGGTTTTATTGGAACTAATTCTAATACTTTTGTACTTATTCTTTACAGTTGTTATAAACTTTTTAGTTCCGTTTTATCAGAAAAGTTTCCGGTATTTCCTTGCTCTCTAGTATCACGAAAATATAGGAAAAATAATTATATTTCCTTGCTCTCTAGTATCACGAAAATATAGGAAAAATAATTATATTTCTTTGCTCTCTAGTATCATGAAAATATAGGAAAAATGATTATATTTCCTTGCTCTCTAGTATCATGAAAATATAGCAAAAATGATTATATTTCCTTGCTCTCTAGTATCACAAAAATATAGGAAAAATGATTATATTTCCTTGCTCTCTAGTATCATGAAAATATAGGAAAAAATAATTATATTTCCTTGCTCTCTAGTATCACGAAAGTATAGGAAAAATAATTATATTTCCTTGCTCTCTGGTATCACGAAAATATAGGAAAAATGATTATATTTTCTCAATCCGTTCTCTAATCCTTTAGGCTAACATGGATTTATAGAAAACTTGATAAATCTGGATAATTATAGATTATCCTAATCTTCTTTTCAAGGTCAAGAGGGATGGGGGGGGAGGGTGGGATTATGATGCTTTTTCAGATATGATAAAAAAACAGGTTTGGTAAATTGTAATTCAACATATACCAGATTTTTTTGATTCTGTCTTGTCATAAAACTTAAACTTATAAAATACTCAGAAGTCAGAGCACAGAGCGTTTTCATATTTGATAACCTACAATCTTTAACGCTAAAATACATACAACATACTTGAACATATTTTCTACTCTTGTTTATATTTTAATAGATTATAGATTCAACTTTCAATTTTCGTGAAAAATAAGAATATTGTAGATGAACGGCATGATAGCCCTGAGAACCATCGTATACTTCATCAGCACCTCCCTGCTCTCTGCCCTTGTTGGTCTGGTCCTGGTTATCCTGGTGCACCCAGGAAACCCGGAGACAAAATCCCTTCTTGGATCAGGTTCGGTATCTATATATATGAGTAGTAATCTCTGTTTGTATGTCCGATCATAACTCAGAAGCACCTTGAACATTTGCTTCGAACTTTGGTTGGGAAACTCGAACCCAGGAAATGTTCTTTCCTTGGTTAAACAGTTCTAAGTTAGGTTTAACATTTTTAGCGAAAGAATAGTTTCCAATCAATGCTGGGTTCCTAGTAGCTTTTAGAGACATTATTTCTTCAGATTGAAAGAATATGCAATTGTACAATCTATATATGTAAAGTTGTAATCTCTGTTTGTTTCTTTGTTCGATCATAACTCAGAAACCCCTTGACCGATTTTGATTAGAGAACTCAGGAGACCCACGGGAATGTTCTTAGGTTTGGTTTTGTGATTATAAGTTGAGTGGGTTGGCTTTAGTTTCCCGGTAAAATCGTTCAAGTGCTGGTAAACGACGGGAGTAACTTTTAGTAACCTTGGCAGCGATGGGTTCCCAAGCTAGTATTTTATAAAATGGATTCCGATACCCTGTATACCCTTGCTAAACAAAAATAATATATTATTTATATATATATATAGATGTATATAGCAGGTCGTCACCAATATCAAGTGTGTGATACCCACCTTAAAGTGTATCTCTGTTGTTATTGCGTGAGTTTGATATTAAGATTTGAAAAAGAAATACAAAAATTAAATCTTTATAATGTATGTATAATGTACAAGGTTGAAAACCCAGCATAACCTGGAAACTAAACTTTCTTTATAAAATCAACTTACCAAAGTTATAATTTTAAAACCAAATTCTAGAACATTTCCACGATTCTCCTGGGTTTCACATCAAAATTTGAGGCAAATCGGTCCAGGGGGTCATAAGTTATGATCGGATATTTGAACAAACAGACTAAACAGCTTACTACTTTATTTATAAAAATGATGTTTTTAAAATTTAGTGTATTCTAAATCTATATCTTTGAATATTTGTTTCAGGAACCACAGAGGAGAAGAAGGTTGATATTCTGGACAATTTCCTGGATTTGGGCAGAAATATATTCCCGGACAATATATTCCAGGCTGCATTCATCTCGGTCAGGTTCTTGTTCTCATCCTCACAAACCTTATCCTTATCCTGTCCTCATCCTCATGAACCTTATCCTGTTCTTGTTCTTACAAGCCTTATCCTGTCCTCGTCCTTAAAAATCTGCTCCTGTCCTAAACCTGATATTGTCCTTGTCCTTACAAATCTTCTCCTGTCTTAAACCTGATATTGTCCTCGTCCTCACAATCTTATCCTGTCCTCGTCCTTGCAAACCTTATCCTGTTCTAGTCCTTACCAATCTTATCCTGTTATAGTCCTCACAAACCCTATCCTTTCCTAGTCCTTACAAACCTGATATTGTCCATATTCTACTCCTAAACCTAATGTTGTTCTTATTTAAGGGCAGTTTAAATTGCACCCTGCGACCGACGGATTTCCCGACGCTCTAACACCCTCGTGCATATTCCTAAACCTGATATTGTTCTTATTCTATTCCTAAACCTGATATTGTTCTTATTCTACTCCTAAACCATATATCGTTCTTATTCTACTCCTAAACCTGATATTGTTCTTATTCTACTCCTAAACAGGATATTGTTCGCATTCTACTACTCATTCTTCTACTGTGGTAGGCGATAAAATCAATATAATGAAGACAACTTTCTTAATCAAGTTTTTGTTGTTAACAAGCTTTTTTCGGATTACAAGTTCGCACGTGATAAAAGAGAAGCTTTTTTAATTGACAGCTTTTTTAAAAGTCTAAGTTAAAATAGATTTGCAATTTCTTCTAAAGAGTCTTTAGATGCGTAGACATCAATATTTTGACCATGAGAAATTTTAAATTCAAATTCTTTGAATCAATCTTTCAATCTTTGGCATCTAATTCAGCAAGATTTACAATCACTGTAAAAATAAATTTACTGCGATTAATATTTTATACTGTAAACTTACAGGCTGGAACCAAGTATGATAAAGTACTGCTCCCCAATTCTACAGTACAGTACATCAAAACTCTTGGTACAAGGTAAACATAAACCAAAAAACAGGAATTATTGTTTCGGGGTGGGGGGAGCAATTTTTTAAAAACTTTAAAACACGAAATTGTAAATTCAATGGGTGGGCAGGGGCGTACGAGTGGGGGCCGAGCCTCCACCCCCTACGCGTGCCCCCTGACGGGGGGGGGGGGCACGCGTACTCATGGGGGGACTCTTTTAATATCACATCTGCTTGCATTTACCTTCCTCAGGCAATCTACATTCATAATTTATGATACAATATGAATTAATCCTATGAAAAATAGATAATTTTTTAGAAACATTTCCATCTATATTTTTCATCCCTTGAAGCTTACACCACAGTATTAAGAGGGATTGCCTGATTTTGTGCCCCCCCCCCCCCCCACCCTTGGCAACATTGCGCCCGCCCCCCGTAATAAAATTACTTAAATAATTTATTACCGCTTGTAATATGGAAGTGTGTATATGATCGAATAGTTTACATAGTTAAAAAATGTATCAATATTATTTTCAAAAATGGGGTTTTAGGGGGGGCACAATGTTGCCAAGTACTCTAGTGCGCCCCAGTGGGTGGGCAATGTCCCTGAGGCCCCCTGTTTAGTGTTTACGCCCCTGAATAAAAAATTAATTATTTATGATTTGGTTAGTTAAACAAATATTTTAGGAACGGAACAAACACCCTCGGTATAATCTTCTTCTGTCTGTGCTTCGGTACAGTACTTGGTTCATTACCTACTCGGCAGGGGTCTCCTGTTATTCATTTCTTCAAGGTTATTGACGAGGTAAACTTATAATAAGCAACATGAATATTAAACTATTGAATAGAAACACTTGAATACAACTAAGAAGTCCAATGAACACAGTAATTGCGAAGCACACATGACCCATTAAGCTTGTTAGGTAAAACTGTCATTCGATAAGTGGAGGGGAACGCGACCCGCACCTGTTTGACATCCAACCCGCAGATGACGTCACAAAACGGATTTGCGGCAAGCGCTTACCCCTATGCCGTCCGACCCTCACAAGTTGGTCTTCGGGCAAAATGTCTTTATTTGTAAAGGCAATTATTATCAGCTTAAAAATTGTTTTTAATTTCTTTTAGGCCGTGTCAGTCAGGCACGACTGGTTTTAATTGAAATTTTATAATTTCAAAATATAAATCTTAATTAACTTAATAATAATAATGGGATGTTCAACGCCAGTGCACTCACGAAAACGGCTAAGTCATTGCAAAAATAATACACTTTCAGGAAGAAAATGACTCGGGCCTCAAATGTATTACAGTGACAATATTTACTTTTCATTTTTAGCATTTTTCAGACCATGCAAAATATTTAAAATTCTACAATAAAAGTAAATCCACACTAAAATGTTGTTTGATCTGTATTTTCAAAACTATCGCTTTATTCAGCAGGTAGATGTGCTACTGTTACAAACAAAAAATATCAGGAATAAGTTTATTTTATGATAGACACTTGACGTTTTTTATAAATTTAAATTTATGCTGCATTCGTCTATAATTAGCATACACAAATTAAGAAATTTTGCCGGAAAGCCAACAGGTGAGGATTGGACGGCATAGGGGTAAGCGCATTCCGCAAACCTGTTTTGTGACGTCATCTGCGGGTGGGATGTCAAACAGGTACGGGTCGCCTTTCCCCTCTATTTGTAGCATTCAACATAAAATACAAAGAGGAGTGCTATTCCACAGTTTTACGGGTCCTAAGACATTAGAATGTCTCTAGAAGGGTCTGGTTCATTTGATGTCCCGTCCCGTTTTGCCTGGCATAATCTGTACTTGTAATGTACAGCTCGCTCTAGCTGGTTAGATGTCGGTCCGGTCCTTGAAATGGACCAGACTAAACAGCGACAAGTATAACTGAATAATGAAAATGATATGTTTAGGTAATAATGAAATGATATGTTTAGGTAATAATGAAAATGATACGTTTAGGTAATAATGAAAATGATATGTTTAGGTAATAATGAAAATGACTACTGGCATCATGTGGTTTTCTCCTCTGGGCATAAGTTCTGTAATCTGCGGAAAAATTCTGGGAGTTGCGAATATTATGAAGTAATTTTAGAAAATATTTTCCATCGTGACAATGGCATGCCTGATTCACAAAGAAAACCTTTAAACCTTCGTCTGAGCAAAAATCATTACGCAATCTATGTTTTTTTTTTACAACTTGAAAATCATTAATTGTGAGTTCTCTGTAACCTAAATTGCGGATGTACGGACTACGGATACATGGAAAGAAACTTTCAGATTTGAAAAATGACGATATCTTCCTCATTGTTGCTCAGACAATGGTTGTAAACTGGATATGCAATTCTTAAAAAGACAATTGAAATTACGTTAGCAGTCCCTTTATAGTCTTCAACATGTTTTTCTTTTACATTTCTAGAGGGTTCAGGGAATATATAGATCGCAATCTTTCTTAGAAATAGAACTTTTATTTGTAAATATCTTCTACTGATACTTCTACTATCCAAATAATTTTTTTCATTAAACAATGTTAATGCAAAAAAACATGAATTTCAAAGGAAGGATATTCACATGGATTCTGGCTGCTATGAAAAGTTGTATCAATTTTCCAGACAGGGTAGACTTTGAAGTGTCGCAACGCTTCACGCTTAGATTTTAACATTTTGATTTCACTTATGTGATTTTGTAGCCCTAAACATGCACATTTTGGAACTATAAAATACTTAGTTTTAGCATCATTTTTTTAAGAAGTAATTGTCAAAATTCTCATCGATTTTTGCGTGAGTTCTTGCAATCTTTAGATTTCACAAAAAAGGAAAATGATTTATTTGGCGTACTATCCCATTTAAGTCGTATTCTTTAAAGTCAATTCGGTTCTTCAAACCGGAGTTTACAGTGTGGGGGGCCACAAAGAGCAAAACTAAAATTTATTAGTTTCGAATTTGTTTTAACAAATATTTATCTAGTTCCATCAATCTGGCTCCGCCCCGGGGAAAATAATTTGACAACAACAAATTTTAATGAACAAATATTTTTGAAGAAAAGATAATAGGGTTTATTGTGCAGAGTGATGTCCCAGCTCGGTCTCTTCATTGCTACAGTCTGCTCCGGTATCTTTATATACCAGTTCACATTCTTACAGGTAGGTAGATAGATAGATAGATAGATAGATAGATAGATAGATAGATAGATAGATAGATAGATAATTAGATAGATAAATAGATAGATATGTAGATAGATAGACATATAGATAATTAGATAGATAAATAGATAGATAGATATATAGATAATTAGATAGATAAATAGATAGATAGATAGATAGATGGTCAAATTTATTTTAAACTAATGATTCATTTGATTGACAGGCGATATACTTTGTGTTTGTGAGAAAGAATCCGTTCAAATTCTGGTGGAATCTACTTCAGTCCTGGATGACCGCATTCGCTACAGCATCAACGTAAGCTGACCCTGATTAACACAATCTATAAATTTTTAATGTAAAGTTAGACATTTATTTACATATAGATGTTGACATATGTCACATATCTCTTTATTTTCCACGAAACAAAATCGAAAACTTTCAAGGTTTTTTGAGTTTTCGAATGAAAACTTGGGTTTACAGAAAAAGTTTGAATTTTAATCGGCCATATCTGTTCCCTTTAAACTTACTAAATAGTTTGGCCTGAATTTGTGTTGTTTTAACATAGATTTCTAATAGATCACACATTAATATTTATCCTTAATTTTGCAACGATTTCAAATAGATCGCATTCGCATCGCATCTTACATTTGCATACATTTACAAAATAACTTTTTAATATTTCACGCGGAATTTGCGTAAATGACGTAGGATTTACTTTGACGTAGATCTCCTCACGTGCATTTTCTTATTTAATATGCCAAGGCCTAGATGTGAGAGGCCTGAATGGGTTAAAACTAAAAAAGAACATCTGTCCGAACAAAATTGCAAAATTACTTTTCAACGCAGAATAGGACAGTCTGAAAGAAATCATTTACACTACAAAGAGATTGAAACTTCAGATACAACCGTAGGGAATATAATCTTTTCTTTTATTCTTCGTTTTGTCACTCTGTGCAACAACAAGATTTATTTATTTCTATACATTCATAATTATTTACAGTCTTATATTCCAGGTAAAATTCAAACCAACAAAATTTGTTATCTACAATTTAGCGAATAAAATATAAGAAAATCTGATAATTGAAACATTTGTTTTTAGAGCCGTTGCTCTTCCCATCACCTTCCAGTGCATGGAGAAGAACAAAGTTGATATCAGGTAAACTTAACCATCAGTGCATTATCCTCAACATCTTTATCATCATCATCACCTTCATAATCATAGGAAACAATAACATCATTATTAACAGTTTTGTGAGGTGGGGTGGGGAGTGTGTGACACCAGTTTTCGTTAGATCACTGTCCACAACCAGTAACTGGATTGGTGTCCACAACCAGAAACTGGATTGGTGTCCACAACCAGAAACTGGATTGGTGTCCAGACTGGTGTTTCCGGGTTCAATTCCCGTACTCCACACAAACCTTTGGTTTCAAAAACATCTGAAGCCGACATCTGGTTCAGCAGTTTTGACCACCTGACGGATGTAGGAGGACAGAGAGGCGGCTGTCAACAACTCTCGCAGCGAAAGGGTGCGTGCTTTTTACTCAAGAAGAAAGAAGCTTTAAGTGAATGACGATGAAGAGAGGAATGGTGGACAAACAGGGAGAGTCATACGGTTGCCAGCTATATGTACCTGGGGGTATCCAATCCGGGCTTACGGATGTTAGGAAGCAATGAGTATCAGTATGGCACCGGGGCTCATTCTAGTATATCAGAAGAATTCCTGCACTCTATATTCTCAGGCCTAAGAAGCCCTAAGGCAGCTGGAATCTTGTAAACCCTCTTCTCAGAATGAATGAAGCGTGGATAGATGAATGTGCTGCAAGATTACAACCCCTGGTAGATCAATATAAACCCAGACAACACCAAACTTTCTCAATAGGAAAAATTCCGAGATTTGACCATAACAACCCGCGGTCATGTCTTGGAGACAAAAAAAATCTCTTTTAAAAATTATTAACATCATAAGAAACACTTAAATCATCATTCATTATCACAAGAAACAATCACATCAATATCATCCTCACCATAGGAAACAATAACATAATTGTCATCATTTTCAAAAAAAAAAAAAATAACATCATGATAAATATCACAAGAAACATCAAGAGAAACACTAACATTATCATCATTATCACAAGAAACAACCACATCAATATCATCATCACCATAGGAAACAATAGCATAATTGTCATCATTTTGAAAAAAAAACAATAACATCATGATAAATACAAAAGAAACATCAAGAGAAACACTAACATTATCATCATTATCACAAGAAACAACCACATCAATATCATCATCATCATAGGAAACAATAACATAATTGTCATCATTATTATCACACAAAAACCAATAACATAATTATCAAGACTTTTTTAATACAGCTTAACCCATAACTTCAGAATTCTAAAGAAAATGTCGTTTTCCAAATCGACGGATAATGAAATGTTGCAGATATTTAGTTTTTCAATTGAATAATTATATGGAGCTCTTTAAAACTGTTTCTGCATATTTCATGGTTTTTTTAACATTACCGAGATTTAGGTATAAAAATATAAACCCATATTTAAAAACTTTAATTTAAATTTAATTTAATTAAAAAAAGACGACATTTTATAAATTCCTTTGATTCTCCGAAGTTCTAGGTTAATCTGTATAATTATAAAATCATCAATATTTTCTCTAAACCCATTTTATTATTTTTCAGGATTTCCAAATTTGTGCTGCCCATCGGTGCAACTGTGAATATGGACGGAACTGCGCTGTTTGTAACGGTCGCCTCCATCTTTATCGCTCAAATGAACGATATTCCACTCAACGCTGGTTCTTACGCAACTGTTGTGTAAGTTACCTTGTAATTACATTACCAGGTATAATAAATACCTAAAACAGAAAGGGGTTTAAGAGAAATTAAAAAAATTTAAAAAAAATAAAAATTCTGAATAAAAATGTGAATGTTCAGGTTGACCTCTACAGCTGCAAGTGTAGCGTCTGCAAGTGTACCAAGTGCAGCTCTGGTTCTCATGCTTATTGTACTCTCTGCTATTGACGCTCCGTATCAGGGAACTTAAGAAACTTGTTTGAGCAATTTATTTTAATACAGTGGTAGGCGATTATATCGATACAATGAAGACGACTTGTTTAAAGTTTTAAATGTTAACAAGCTTTTTACGAATCAAAATTTTACAAAAGCTTTTTTATTTGACAGCTTCTCCTGACTTCTATGTTTAAGTGTATCCGTGCTGTATAACAGATTGATATAAATCAAAATTTAAATCGAAAGTCGTCTTCATCGTATTGATATAATCGCCAACCACTGTAGTTTGTAGCTAAAAGTGAGTGTAAGCGTAATTTCAACTTTTCAAGTGACTTTTCACGTGACTTTTCAAGTGACTTTTCAAGTGACTTTTCAAGTGACTTTTCAAGTGACTTTTCAAGTGACTTTTCAAGTGACTTTTCAAGTGACTTTTCAAATAACTTTTCAAGTGACTTTTCAAGTGACTTTCCATGCAAAGATGGCAATTTCCGATTCACAACGGTACTCTTGAAACCTTTGTACGATTAATAATCTGGAGGATATTGTCGTTTCTCGAGGTTTAAACGTGTTTATTTCTGATAATACTAGTATGGTTTTCTGCAGTAGAAATGCGCAAGTAAATTTCAGCGAACCTCAGTTCAAAATTAAAAACATTCATTTCTGATTCGTATTTTATCAGACAAAGCTTTCAAGGGAACCATTTTAAATAATGCCATCTTGCATGTAGGGTCACTTAAACACACGCTTACAGTCCCTTTAACTTGATGCATTAAGAAAGTTTGGTCAAGGATTGCACGTCGAACTAAACAATCTGAATACATCAAAGTCTCCATAGTTTCTCTTTGTTCCAGGACGTTTCTCTGCTCTGGGCAATAGATTGGTTTGTGTAAGTAATCTTTAATAAATTTCTATAGTTTATGATTATAAAGCTACAGTAGTTCTAATAAAGATATATGTCGCTGATATATAAATATATCTACAATTATATTCAGGGCAGCACATTTTACAAGTAAATCAGTTGAAAATTACAAAAGAACAGCGATATTCCATAATAAAATTAAAAGACGACAATAACTGTACTGTTTTCTAGTAATCCATGGTACATATTTACTAGGGATCGGTGCCGTACAACTAACAACATGCTCGGAGATGCGTATGGGGCTGCCATAGTGGAAGCATTGTCAAAGTAAGTGTTTTAAATATATTTATAATAATTGTTTTCTCTTGCTTTCGAAGTTTTCTAAAAAATGTATTTTTCAGTTGTAATTTTCTGAGATCACAAAAGACAAGAATAAAGTCCCGGACAAATAAAAATTCTTTGAGTTTTTGTGGAAAATATGGGTCATCCGTTTTTTATTCTATTATGTATGACCACAAAAGAACTAGAACAACTCTACAGTGAGACCCATTAAACTATGGAATAGGAAGACGACTGATGTTAGACTCAAGTTTAGATTTCAAATGAGCATATAACACGCCATTTATCCAGCGTAAACACTGCATAGAACCATTACATTTAATTACTTGATTTTTAAATAGCTACCTGGCAAATATAGTACTACCCCCAAAATCAAGAATACGAGAGTTTTTTCAACAAATCTCCAGATTCTCGAGCACCCTCGTACCCCCTTGCACGTTCCTGATTTAAAATGCGTTCCCGACTACGAACGCCTTCCTGATTTTAACGTTCTTTTTAAGAAATTTCCGTTTGTTCCACGTTTGTTCTTTTAATTATCGTTCAAATACTTTTAAGGACCCGTTCTTTGTATTCGTTTTTTTCAGAACGATCGTTCTTGGCAATTCCGTTAGTTCTCGTTCCTCAGGAACGACGCCCAGCCCTATCCCACTGTATGCTAAACATAATGTTCTCCAGGAAGGAGTTGGCCCTGATGGATGCTGAAAAGGAGATGGAGGAGAGGAAGGAAAAGGAGAAGGACGAGGAGGCCAACATCAACTTCCTCAAGGAGTCAATCGGATCAAAGGTATGTACATTTTTAAAAATGATTTTATATTTAGAACATAGAATATAAATGTGAAGTATTTCGAATTGTTATTTTTTCATTTGTTCATTAGATAATATATATTTCAAACTAGATTTTTAGAATAATCCAAAAGTGGGATTAGTAAGGAAATAGCTTTTAATTAGATATTGTCTTTGTCAAGAAGTATACTTCTTTTATTAACAAAATAATGTTTTCATTTTAGTCTCACGATTTTTCTTTAGATTTGAAATCCTAGTTTATTGTTTAGATGTTTTGTAACGGGTGTAGTATTAGAATAAACAAGGTGATAGGTAGATATGTGCAACCACTTTTCATCCTAACTAATCTAACATAAAATCTGATAATTAACACAGCGCAGGCTTCCCTTGGTATTTTGCTACATTCTCAAAGCTTGAAAACTTGAATTTAAAGATTTTACGAAATAATAAATTTTCTTAAGAAAAATTGAAACAAAATCATAATTAAATTTGATTTGAAATAAACCTACCAAATGTTTAGAATTATCTGCATTTTACTAATCATGAGTTGTGTTGTGACTAACATTTTTTACTTATATTACGTTGGCATTTTTTGGAAGGTGGTTTTCAGGAACCCACTCCAAGGGGGTTTTAATTATATTTTATATACTAATTTACGAGTTTCACGTTTGATGTTGCTGACTAAGCAATAATGAACCAATAATATTGCAGGATTCTGTTGGAGTTAGAATCAACCAATAATATTGCAGGATTCTGTTGGAGTTAGAATCAACCAATAATATTGCAAGATGCTGTTTGAGTTAGAATCAACCAATAATATTGCAGCATGCTGTTTGAGTTAGAATCAACCAATAATATTGCAGCATGCTGTTTGAGTTAGAATCAACCAATAATTTTACAGGATTCTGTTGGAGTTGGAATCAACTAATAATATTGCAGGATTCTATTACAGCTTAAATTAACCAATATTATTGCAGGATTCTATTAGAGTTTAAATTAACCAATAATATTGCAGGATTCTCTTAGAGTTTTTATAAACCAATAAGATTGCAAGATTCTGTTAGTTTAAATAAACCAATAATATTGCTGGATTCTGTTAGATTTTAAATAAACCAAAACGAGATTGCAGGATTCTGGTAGAGTTTAAATAAACCAATAGTATTGCAGAATTCTATTGGAGTTCAAATGAACCTATAATATTGTCGGATTCTGTCAAGACGTTTAATGCTTCTGTTGGATTGCAATTAAACAAATAACAGGGCAAAATTCTGTTGGATATTAAATAAACCAATGGTATTGGAGACTTCAGCTTGACTTTTAATACCTTATATTGCAGGATTCTGAAGAAGAAGACCTCATTGGAACTAAATCTCTCTCCAATGGTTCAACTGTAGCTGTACATGAGGTAGAAACCCATGAGCGCCGAGTGCTTCTTGATTCCAAACTTTAAATCAGTTTTATTCTTCAGGTCATCATCATTGAAAAATCTGACAATCTGAAAATGGTTGGAAAGCCAGAAAAGGGCAAGTTTGCATTGTAGGATGGAACACAATATAAGATGAGAAATATCAACACTATACACTATACACACGGTATACAGGAAGTTAGTCAAATTAGTAATCAGACAAATATAAACTACTACGCCATGCTTATTAAACTTATCGACTACCCTGAATCAGTGTAAATCTAATGGCTACGTTTAAATAACATCAGTCAACATTTAGTCCATTATGTGTAAATCACGATGTGAAATATATACAAGGTGTTTCACTAAACATGCCAGTTGAGAGACGACTTAAAGAATAAAGGTTTTTATTTTTTCTTTGAAAACTTTCTCATGTCCGTGTACCTCCTATAAAACTTTAAAAACAACAACGAATTTCGACGTTTGGTTAATTTTGGTTTTATTGAAGAAATTAACGTTTAAAAGATATTAAAGCTGTTTTAGATGTCATATTTGGCGAAACACCCTGTATTTGATGTACGTAATATATCTAACTATATGTACCATTAAGAATACTTATTTATTCTGAAAAAAAAAATAATAATCATTTCGTATTGTTGTACCTCCATTATTTAAATTAAAGAGGTATTTTGTATACATTTCTTCGCATAAAAATTTTAAAATACAGGTGTTTAAAACAGAGATCTTAAACAGGGCGTTTAAAACAGAGATCTTAAACAGGATGTTTAAAACAGAGATTTTAAACAGGATGTTTAAAACAGAGATCTTAAACAGGGTGTTTAAAACAGAGATTTTAAACAGGATGTTTAAAGCAGAGATCTTAAACAGGATGTTTAAAACAGAGATCTTAAACAGGGTGTTTAAATAGAGATATTAAACAGGGTGTTTAACACGGAGATCTTAAACAGGTGTTTAAAACAGAGATCTTAAACAGGGTGTTTAAAATAGAGATATTAAACAGGGTGTTTAAAATAGAGATCTTAAACAGGTGTTTAAAACAGAGATCTTAAACAGGGCGTTTAAAACAGAGATCTTAAACAGGATGTTTAAAATAGAGATCTTAAACAGGATGTTTAAAATAGAGATATTAAACAGAATGTTTAAAACAGAGATCTTAAACAGGATGTTTAAAACAGAGATCTTAAACAGGGTGTTTAAAATAGAGATATTAAACAGGGTGTTTCAAACAGAGATCTTAAACAGAATGTTTAAATCAGAGATCTTAAACAGGGTGTTTAAAACAGATATCTTAAACAGGGTATTTAAAACAAAGATTTTATACAGGGTGTTTCAAACAGAGATCTTAAACAGAATGTTTAAAACAGAGATCTTAAACAGGATGTTTAAAATAGAGATATTAAACAGGGTGTTTAAAATAGAGATATTAAACAGGATGTTTAAATCAGAGATCTTAAACAGGGTGTTTAAAACAGAGATCTTAAACAGGGTGTTTAAAATAGAGATATTAAACAGGGTGTTTAAAATAGAGATCTTAAACAGGTGTTTAAAACAGAGATCTTAAACAGGGCGTTTAAAACAGAGATCTTAAACAGGATGTTTAAAATAGAGATCTTAAACAGAGTGTTTAAAACAGAGATCTTAAACAGGATGTTTAAAATAGAGATCTTAAACAGGATGTTTAAAATAGAGATCTTAAACAGAGTGTTTAAAACAGAGATCTTAAACAGGGCGTTTAAAACAGAGATCTTAAACAGGATATTTAAAATAGAGATCTTAAACAGAGTGTTTAAAACAGTTTCTTTTAATTACAACTTTTCAAAAAATAATGTTTTTGATCTGAAAATCTCTGGAAATGTTTAGAGAAGACAAAGCGAAACCTTATTTTGTAAATTACGGGAAACAAGGTGTGCATTAGGACTGTACAAAACTATTGATGTTTTTATGCTCAAACATTATCTTTAGAAAACTGATAAGCATAAAACGTTGAGGAACTGTACAGAAAATATTTAATTGGAAATTGCAACATAAACAACACGTTAAAATCATCTAGAGTTTTCCTTTCTGAACGAGCGAATTTAATTATGCCAAGATAGGAACTGAACGTTTTTGTTGGGGGGGGNCCTCTTATACGGCAAAAAATACTAAAATTGTCTTATATTCGTTCTAAAGGGAGGTTTCCGCGTCAGTTGCCCCCCTTCCCAATTACACGGCCTTGACTGTAAACTCCTTAAAATATTTAATTTATAAAAGAATGATTGTACCCTAGTTTCATTGTACTATATGATATTACATGTTTATACTGCTGATTAATTATATTAATTGCTCGTATGTATAACACTATGAATTATAAATATTTTTAAGTATATGTAGCCCGTGATCCTATTATTGTAATTAATGTTGTGCATTATGATAAATATTTATTAGTTGTCTATATTTATAGAATTAGAAATAAACTGTTATTTAATCAGGATACAAAATATCAATTGGAGTTCGGACGGGTTTTGCAGGAACATTGCTGTGTCACGCTAAGGGCTACAGCTGTAGACAAGTGGCACCCCACTTAAAGATTGGCATTATTAGTAACAATGTATTTGATATCTCTTGCCAATAGTTAAGGAAGGGGGTAGCCACAAGTCGTTCAAACAGCTTCATCTTTTTTGGAGTCACATAATTAAAGGGGTTGTATATATATATATATTATAGTCGCAATTTCAACTTTTCAAGTGACCTTCCATGTTTGAAGGGTCACACTCACTTGGGTTCGATTCACAATGGTCACCTTTAACCCTTTGTTTCAGTAAATATTATGATAACTCTGTCGTTCTACCATGACATTTATAGTTTGTGCTTACGGGTTTCCATGAAAGTTTTAAAAGGGGGTGTAATGTATTCAAATTTATCATTAAAAACATCTTCCAGATTGTAAATCCATTTATTGCATTGCAATCAATTGAAATTTTAGTATGATTGCATTAAAGTCATAATTTTTTTTGGAGAAATCATTTCAACTCATAACACCCTCAGTAATGTTCATCCAGACCCACGGAATTCCTAATTATTTATTTATTTTAATTTATCCAGTTAGTTCCAGTATCCTTGCCTGAGTGCATACAATTGAATAAAATATATTGAGTAAAATTTCATGGATAAAATCAAATTAATCCCTTTCAGGGACGAACTTCGAAGTCTGGGTTTAAAGTTTGTAATGCTTAAATCTGCAAATGATTGTATGTCATTTTTAAGTAAGAAAACAAAGGATCAGGGGAATGATTCAGAAAGGGAAAGGTAAAGGGGAAGGTAGTGAAGGGAAAGGTAAAGTTTGGAAGGAAGGTAAAGGGGTAGGAAAGGAAATGAAAGGTAAAGTGAGAACTGAGAAGGTACGGAAGGGAAAAGTAAAGTTTGGAAGGAAGGTTAAGGGGTAGGTAGGAAAGGGAAGCCGAAGAAAGAAAGGTCAAGGAAAACGAGGGAAAGGAAGGAAAATCGATTGGACGGGATCGAAACTCAAGGTATGCTTCTAACATCTATTTAACAACTTTCCAAAAAAGTTCACATATTTTTCCACAATACATTATACATTTTCCCACACAGTTGAAAACTTACGTCTTTCAACTTCAAGGAAATAGACGACAGAAAAATAAAGTTCACAAATAAATACTTGCTTCATTAGTCTGTTTAATAAGAATAATATATAAATTGATCGATTGACCAAATATTGTATCATTATCACAAGTTCAAAGAAAATATTCAATAATTATATTGTTGTCTCTGAATTGATTATCACTGGGTGTTATTGTTCTGTTGAACTCTTCTATCTCACAGGTTCCATCTCCAACTTCTGTAGGGTAGGGTAGCAAGCAGATCTATATATATATTAAAGATACAGTAAGCGTAATGTCATGTGACCCTCCATGCAAAGATGGCAATGCCCAATTCACAACGGTACCCTTGCAAGTTTTGTCTGATCTGATCAAGTATGAATTATAAGTCAATGTTTTAGTTTTTTTACAAACTTGACTTGCGCATGTCTACTATAAGGAAACATATAGTAAGTATCTAAACATTTTTAAACCTCAAAAAATAACAGATAAAAGTTTCAATGGTACTGTTGTGAATCAGGCATTGACATCTATGTATGGTAGGTCACTTGAAGTAAAGCAAACAGTCTAAGCTCTTAAAGGCCGATTGTCATTCATTTTAACATGGAACATATATTTTATACATAATGTCTACCTGACTATATGCTTCAAAGTTTGAATACTCCAGACAAATCTTTTCTTATTTTCACTCTTTATTCTCTCAACAACCCTACACACATAAGCTAAATAAAGCTTAGTTTTCAATTCTTTTTTAAAAGTTTCTTCTTAATTAATTCCAAAACAGAAAAATTATATGGTTGAAAGTTTGCAAGCAAATAGTGGTTTTATGTAATTCTAGCTGAAGGGTCTGGCGTTGCCCTTGGAAAATAAAAAAATTTAACTTTGAATTTTTTTAGTCTATGTTATCCCCCGGCAACCCATGATGTCCACAAACAATTTCAGCCCATTCGGTCCAATCGTTTGGTCGGGCCGGGCCATAGGGGACATATATATGAATGTGTTGTTTTATTATATAGATTTTTATTACGCACAGTGACTCTTTCTTAATATGAATAGCTTTCACAAATGTTTAGTAAACGTCATTTTTACAATATACAAGGACCGAATTTAATGAATTTGAGCTACGTCGATGACTGCTTACTGCCGGTTCAAATTATAAAACAATCTCAGAATAACTCTTACTTAAAGGGGATGGTGGAGATGGCATGTTTCATGTTGAAATATTTTCTATTTCTGGAGGTCATTAAAATTCAATTTGATTTTTTGTTAGAAATTTCGATCACTAATTAGGCAAATTTGAACAAACTTGAAGATTTGAACCAAAAATGAAGGCAGCCTCCCCCCCTACATCAAACAAGCCAACTCCACCATCCCCTTTTAAAACAATATTTGGGATAATGCTTTTCCATATAGTTGAATGTTGAATTACGAATAATCTAGTATAATAAGGGTAAATATCTGGCCCTGAGAGAGAATATAAAAATCTAAACCTGATCCAGGGTTTAGATTCATGTTCTTCATACTGGACAACCTCTAGTTTCATCTTGTATAATATCTAAAAGAAAATCCAATAATTGATACAGCGGTGCTGGGATCTTATGTGTTGCATAACCATAGGCTTGATCGCTTAATATCGATATACATGAATTTTAAAGAGAAACTGTTCGATCTCTTGAATTTTGACATCCCTACTTTCTCTTTTCTCTTATTGGTTGTACGCAAAACTCCTTGTCTGTTTGTTTTCTTATTGGGATATCGATTAAAGATTAAAATTAATCTGTAGATTAACAAAATATCGAGATCAATGCTTATCCTCGATTTCCACGATTCAAGAATTACCAGCTCAGAGCAAGTTCCCAGAATTAATGATTTTTGATGATCAGAGGAAAAAGTTAAAAATTGCACATTAGGACGTAAGTTTGTTTTAAATTTTTTTTGATACTTTTCAATTCACCCAAAACTTCAATGGGAGCCGAGCTCAGTGGCTAGAACAGACTTGAGAAATTACACATTTGGGAAGTTACCACCTGTGAAATACCATTGGGAAGTTGCCACCTGTGAAATACCATTGGGAAGTTTTCACCTGGGAAACTAAAAAGCCTTTAGAAAAGTACATACTACATAGTACCTAATATCCATATGAACATGAACAATGAACATATACTACAAAATTAAGTTGAGACTCGCGGTGTTTTTCTCACCCCCCCCCCCTTGAACCTCACTCTGATAATGAAAGTTAGAGATTAACTTTAAAACTTCAGTAAAAAAGAAAATACATACCATAATACACTTCTCCATTTGCGTGACTAATAAATTCAAAAACTTCTTCTCTGACCTTTCCCTATATTATTTAGGATTTATCTTTTATCTGTTTTCTCAACTATAAAACATTAACAATAATTTTAAANCTATTTTTACAATATAATGAAATTTATCATCAATGGTTCCTGCTCATTGCTCATTGCTCACAATTACTTTAAGAGACTGTATTCATATAAAGTGAAGTTATTTGCAGTTGAAAAACGGTATTTTGAACTTTGATTAAATTTTTTTTTTAATAGAACGCCCTGTTTTAAACGTTAAAAATGGCACTTAATGAGAGAAAATGGTAGAATTAATATGGCTTAGAATAAACAATAACAACGTGTAAACTATCAAAACGAAAATATTAAATTTCATAAATTATATTTTCCTCGCTTACCTGAAAATATCTAAATAAATTGTTACTAGGCTAAAGACTAGTGCTACTACAGACCTCAGGAGTAAACAATTACATTCCATACAACCTTAAACAAGACAATATTAATTAGACTGAAGACTAGTGCTACTACACACCTCAGGAGTAAACAATTACATTCCATACAACCTTAAACAAGACAATATTAATAAGAATATTCTAGAACTAGAAAGTGACTGTTGACATAATATCAAGTGACCAGCCATCTAAAGTTCACAAGTTCACAACTGTGCCCAGAGAACAATGAGAAAATATAACGTCGTTTTCTATTCTAAATGGAATTCCTTGTTTCTGTTTTATAAGTTTCATAAATTCGTAAGACACTCAGATAGAAAAACCCGGATATCTACATATATTTTTCTGATAACAATTCTAAGAGTATCGTTGTGAATCTAGCAAATAACTCATTAAAACAGTTTTCATGAAACTATTTCAGTCAGAGGAAGTGGTCAGCTGTGCTTAATGTTGGTAAACAATTTGGTCAAACGGTACGTAAAATCGACAGCATATCTTAAAAAAAATGGATACAATTTATCATTCTTTGAATGTTTGCAATATTCTTAATCAATCTTTGTTGAAGGAAATGAATATTTTGAAATTGAGAATAATGATCATGGTATTAATTTAAATATTCATAATCTTAATTTACTTTGTTTCCTATACCTGAATCTATCCAAGGAGTTGGAGAATAACAATCTGAAGATTCGTTCACAAACCTCAAATAAGATTAGATTTGATATTTAAACATTTATAAAAACCTACTTTTCTACCAAGTTGACATCCTGTATAAAAACCTACGTGTCTACCAGGCTGCCTCCCTGTATATAAACCTACGTGAATACTAGGTTGCCATCCTGTATATAAACCTACGTGTCTACCAGGTTGCCACCCTGTACATAAACCTAAGTGTATACCAGGTTGCCACCCTGTACAAAACCTACGTGTCTACTAGGTTGCCACCCTGTAACAAAAACCTACTATTCTACTAGGTTGCCACCCTGTATATAAACCTACGTGAATACTAGGTTGCCATCCTGTATATAAACCTACGTGTCTACCAGGTTGCCACCCTGTACATAAACCTAAGTGTATACCAGGTTGCCACCCTGTACAAAACCTACGTGTCTACTAGGTTGCCACCCTGTAACAAAAACCTACTATTCTACTAGGTTGCCACCCTGTATATAAACCTACGTGAATACTAGGTCATCCTGTATATAAACCTACGTGTCTACCAGGTTGCCACCCTGTACATAAACCTAAGTGTATACCAGGTTGCCACCCTGTACAAAACCTACTATTCTACCAGGTTGCCACCCTGTATATAAACCTACATGTCTACCAGGTTGCCACCCTTTATAAAAACCTGCTTGTATACTAGGTTGATACCCTGTGTATATAAACCTACTTGTATACTAGCCTTACTTGGGTAACACCCTGTAGATAACCCTACTTGTATACTAGGTTGACACCCTGTATATAAACCTACTTGTATACTAGGTTGACACACTGTATATAAACCTACTTGTATACTAGGTTGCCACCCTGTATATAAACCTGCTTGTATACTAGGTTGATACCCTGTATATAAACCTGCTTGTATACTAGGTTGACATCCTGTATATAGACCTACTTGTATACTAGGTTGACACCCTGTGCAATAATCCTGTAGTTGACTGACAAGTCTTCCGCTAGGTATTTATCCTCTTCATCCTTCGATCTAAAAAAATATACATATTGAATTTTTGTTCAGTTTCTTCAGGTTATTTTAGCAAAAAATAAGTCAAATTTTTAATTGATGGAATAAAATAGCAACGCCAAACTCATAAATATGTACTTTTTATCCGTCTAAAAAGTTGGGAAAACTTAAATATTATAACTATAAGACGATTTAATTTTGTCTTGTTCTCTAGGAGGTTTAATGGCATAACAAATAGCTGAAACTAACTCTACAAAAATTACTCCCTATTTCCCCCTTTAAATAGAGTGAAAGCATTAATAATGAACGTAAAGTTAACATTGATTGGTTTTATCAGTTCATGAAAACGTAACAAACTCTGTCAAATTACAAAACATGAAAATATATTTGTTTGTTTGACCTTTGCATTTCCCGGTTCATATCCAGGTCAGGGTCATAATATTCTTCAAGGTCACGGACTAACTTCAGCTTATAGCAACCTAGATATTCATATACACTATACAGTCATAATATTCTTCAAGTTCACGGACTAACTTCAGCTTATAGCAACCTAGATATTCATATACACCATACAGTCATAATACTCTTCAAGGTCACGGACTAACTTCAGCTTATAGCAACCTAGATATCATATACACTATACAGTCATAATATTCTTCAAGGTCACGGACTAACTTCAGCTTATAACAACCTAGAGATACATATACAGTCATAACCAGAAAGACCTGGATTTAATCAGTTAAAGGGAGTGTTCGCGAAAAATAAAAGGGGGAATATAGTAGTAGTAGTACTGGTAGTAGTAATACTAGTAGTAGTAGTACTAGTATGATTAATGCGATAAAAAGGCGCTTTTGATCGCTATTAATCTTACTTCTAGCTGTTGCGGCTATAAGGAGAAAATTGTTAAAGACGTCTCATACCGAATAACACTGCGTCCATTCAAATTGGGAAAACTTCAACATACGACTTAGACCGTAAAAAAAATCAATTTAATTTCAAACAAATCATTCAGATATTACAACCTATAGTCATCGATTATCTTTCGCCACATTTNAGACCACTTTTTGGAAATGCCAGGGCTAGGAGAATTATGTGATAATTGTTTCAAGAATCATACATGTTATAGTAGATAGAAGACTAAATTTCACAAATAAATTCAAATACCAAAGACGACTTTCAAGTCGTCTTCCTATTGTCATGTTTCGTGGGACACCCTGTATATATCTCTGGTAATTTTAAACCCACAAAAAATGTAGACTACATTTAGGCATTGGCAGGACTAGGTTTATTTTGTAATTATCGCTTCATTAATCAATAATTATATCTTTAAAATTAGGTTGTAAAGTCGTCTGAATAGTTGTAAACTAGTTCCGGGTCTTTCTGATTATTATCTGTATTAATAAAGTAGTTCCGGGTCTTTCTGATTATTATCTGTATTAATTAAGTAGTTCCGGGTCTTTCTGATTATTATCTGTATTAATAAAGTAGAAATCTGTTTGTGTGAGATTTTGTTGGTTCTTTCATAACTCACAATTCAGTGGACCAATTTGCTCCAAATTTAGATAAGGGAACTCGGTAGAACAACGGGAATGTTCTTAGCTTGGTTTATGAATTCCAAGTTGAGTAGGTTGACTTTTTAGGAAAACACTTCATTTCCAGGCAACGCTGGGTTCCAAAAAAGATCAATGATTTAAATACTAACATTTAGACATTTTGCAAAGGAGACGGAATAGGAATAGAAATGTGTCTGTGATTTTTAACAATTAAAACATACGCGCTGAAGTTGCCCATTGTTTCTTTTAATCGGCAGAAAACGACCCGTGGAATCGATCAAGCTGAGTAATATGCCACCTACCATCTGTTATTATGTGGGGGGAAGGGGGTTACATTTGTATAATCTAAGTGTCAATTTTTCCAGTCTAATACATGTAACATATATACACACACACAAACAAATCCTTAAAGTAGCTTCAGCGTGCATAATAAAATATGTCTAAATTTCCAAAGGAATTGAATAAAGAATGAACCTGCTTCCATCTCCTGGAAAATCATCTGTAGAAAGCATTGATCTGTTCCATTGCAGAGTTCAGGCAGAAAACCATCATCAGCTGATCAAAACAACATTCTCAATTTAATATTTAAAAAATATTTTGATTAAAGTTTAAATATTTTTTTCATGAAAGTTGAGAAAAATATTAATATAACTAAGGTTGATTAAGTTGAAAATTTCCTGTAAGAGTGAAGAAAATATCAAAAAGAACTTGTCTAGCCGCAGCACTAGCCTGAAGCTCATTAGACTCCTAGAATACACTCAATATAACAACTGAGGTTAGAACTTATATGCAACCTTTGATTACGAGGCTTAACCGGATACCTTTCCCGTTGACGGATAAACCATAGACGCAGAATTCTAAAAGTTACCAGAAATGGACAATAATAACGTTTCTCTCATTTAAGGAGTTAAAAGCAAAGTCAGATGTTCACTAGATATTGATTTCAGTCAGCCGAATTAGTGTAGGCTAAATCACAAACAGAACGGTTTCCCTCTGTAAAATTAGATTCTAACAAACATAAATATTTCCATTCTCTAAATTGTGATTAATTACAAATCTCTTGGATTAGACTTTTAATTTGACAAGAATTGCCGAATTAAAATAAAACTTTTCTTTATACATCAATTTATAATCTAACATTGGTTTCATTGAAAAAAGTAAAACGTTTATATACGAGTATATCCCTGAAGCTTGGCAAGAGCTGCTCTAATAAGAGCGCTGATCTGAATAAGCTGCTCCTTCTCTGGTAATTCATACTCCCATAGCGCTTTAAGAAGCTCCCCAACCCGTCTCAGCATCTCAAAATCACAAAGTTCAGTCATCATCCTGAAACAAAATATGAAAATATAAAATTGTCTCATCCAGAGAATCTAAGTCTAAAAGCCAGGGAATGTTGCTTTGAAAAAAAATTGGACATAATCACTGCATGACAAGAAAACCTAAAATCTCCATCCAACATAAAAGGAAATTATCAACCGAATAGGGATATACATACATGTATCCAGTATACACTATACACTGTATCTTTCTGCTCTTGAATGAAGAATATCTACCTGAGTAAGGATATACATGTATCCAGTATCCACTTAATCCCTCAACTCTTGAACAGTAGAATATCTACCTGAGTAAGGATATACATGTACCAAGTATACACTCCATCCTTCTACTCTTGAACAGCAGAATATCGACCTGAGTAAGGATATACTTGTATCCAGTATACACTTCATCCTTCTACTCTTGAACAGTAGAAAATCTACCAGAGTAAGAATATACATGTATCCAGTAAACACTCCATCTCTCTACTCTTGAACAGTAGAATATCTACCTGAGTAAGGATATACATGTATCCAGTAGATTCCATCTCTCTACTCTTGAAGAGTAGAATATCTACCTGAGTAAGGATATACTTGTATCCAGTATACACTCCATCCTTCTACTCTTGAATAGTAGAATATCTACCTGAGTAAGGATATACATGTATCCAGTATACACTCCATCTCTCTACTCTTGAATAGTAGAATATCTACCTGAGTAAGGATATACATGTATCCAGTATACACTCCATCTCTACTCTTGAAGAGTAGAATATCTACCTGAGTAAGGATATACTTGTATCCAGTATACAATCCATCCTTGTACTCTTCAACAGTAGAATATCTACCTGAGTAAGGATATACATGTATCTAGTATAAACTCCATCTCTCTACTCTTGAATAGTAGAATATCTACCTGAGTAAGAATATGCATGTATCTAATATACACTCCATCCTTGTACTCTTGAATAGTAGAATATCTGCCTGAGTAAGGATATTCATGTATCCAGTACACACTCCATCCTTGTACTCTTGAATAGTAGAATATCTACCTGAGTAAAGATATACATGTATCCAGTACACACTCCATCCTTGTACTCTTGAATAGTAGAATATCTACCTGAATAGGGATATACATACATGTATCCAGTATACACTCCAACCTTCTACTCTAGAATTCTAGAATATCTACCTGAATAGGGATATACAATATACATGTATCCAGTACACACTCCATCCTTGTACTCTTGAATAGTAGAATATCTACCTGAGTAAGGACATACATGTATCCAGTATACACTCTATCCTTCTACTCTTGAACAGTAGAATATCTACCTGAGTAAGGATATACATGTATCTAGTATACACTCCATCCTTCTACTCTTGAATAGTAGAATATCTACCTGAGTAAGGATATATATGTATCCATTATACACTCCATCTCTCTACTCTTGAACAGTAGAATATCTACCTAAGTAAGGATATACATGTATCTAGAATACACTCCATCCTTCTACTCTTGAACAGTAGAATATCGACCTGAGTAAGGATATACTTGTATCCATTATACACTTCATCCTTCTACTCTTGAACAGTAGAAAATCTACCTGAATAGGGATAAACATACATGCACCCAGTATACACTCCATCCTTGTACTCTTGAACAATAGAATATCTACGTGAGTAAGGATATACATGTATCCATTATACACTCCATCCTTCTACTCTTAAACAGTTGAATATCTACCTGAGTAAGGATATACAATATACATGTATCCATTATACACTCCATCCTTCTACTCTTGAATAGTAGAATATCTACCTGAGTAAGGATATACATGTATCCAGTATACACTCCATCCTTCTACTCTTAAACAGTTGAATATCTACCTGAGTAAGGATATACAATATACATGTATCCAGTATACACTCCATCCTTGTACTCTTGAATAGTAGAATATCTACCTGAGTAAGGATATACATGTATCCAGTATACACTCCATCCTTGTACTCTTGAATAGTAGAATATCTACCTGAGTAAGGATATACATGTATCCAGTATACACTCCATCTCTCTACTCTTGAATGCATCTCCACTGAAGGAAACCATGTGAACCATGTTTCTAAGTTCTGCGTCAAGCACAGCAGAGTCTGGACACACGGAAGTGAATATAAATAAATTTGGCTGTAATAATCAAAGGAAGTAAACACTCGCCTCAAATTCTAATTGTCTAACTCTCACATCTTTGCAACCTGTTGCAGACCTTTTACATTTTTAAAATTAAAACTATGAATTATGCTAGACCAAACAGTCAAAACGTGGTTTAGAAGATATAAATAAATAAATAAATAAATAAATAAATAAATAAATAAGAAATAAATAAATAAATAAATAAAAAAATAAAAAAAGTCAACCATCATTCCGTGGAAATCAATGGATTAAAAAAAGAAAAGATTTTGACAAATGTTCATTACTCAAGGCATTAAAAAAGTCTTCCATTTGTCCCATAATTTGTATTAAAATTTATGAATGAAAAACTCCCCCTATTCTTATTATTGCTGCATAATGATATCTAAAAAAATTGTTTGAAAAAAATTTGAAAAAATTTTAATTTTTTAAAATTTTCCGTATTCCTTCTCTGGAAAAAGCGGATTCCTTCCGAGAAGATTTCTCCCTCTTCCAGCTTTTCTTCCCCGTCTTCCTTGTTCCCGTAAAGGAGAAGAATGTTCCCTTCTCAACTCCAGTTCCAACCTTGGCAACAGCTTTCTCCACCTGCTCCCACCCTACCTTAACCTCAACCTAGAGAAAGGGTTGGATTCAATTCAGGCAAAGTGGTTAAGCCATTTCATTCCAATTCAAGTGCATAAATCTCAGGTTTAATTTTAGCTACCAAAGATACTTAATTTTTTCTTCGTTGATTTGTATTTTAAATTCTACCATGACGAAATGTGATTATATAGTTTTCCAAATCTCACATTTATATTTTGAGAGGAAAGAAAAAAGATTTACCTTTTTGTTTTTGATGCAGATTTGAATAATTTTATCCACTGATATATCAAGCATAGTTCCCCAATCCGTGCTAAATAACATCTATTAAGAATGCGAATATATATTTTCAGATCGATGTTAAGTAAGTTTTCTTAGCAACAATTTTAATATTTTCATTTCTTAAAGGGACTGTATACATTATTTTGAATAATTCTAGACATTTACAGAGTGGCATGTTATTGTCAGCGTCCCAAAGGTAGCCTTTAAATCTTCTTAATCGACGACAGAGATATCCGTCTTATTCTTTAATTGAATATTGAGTCTAGACACCGTACACCGTTAGAAAGACAGTCTCTTAAATTTTCAGCTGAATAAAAGATGGATATCTCCGTTTTCTATTTTCAGAAACTAGTGCCGTAGAGAATCGAGCACACCCCTCTTATTTAGAGGACGGTCACTTAAAACTAGACCAAATCCTTTAATACCGAATATTTTGCAATAAACATAGCAAATGGTTGCTTTTCAGAATACTTGGTCATTTAAACTTTTCTATTATTATAAAAATAATTTAAACTTTTCTATTTTTATAAAAATCATTTAAACTTTTCTATTATNAATCCGTACAATCCGTACAATTTTAGGGTTAAAAAAAAATCAATCCGTACAATCCGTACAATCCGTACATTTTGGCCACCCTGTATATTTGATTTGATTTGATTTGATTTAAACTTTTCTATTTTTATAAAAATCATTTAAACTTTTTTATTATTATAAAAATCATTTAAACTTTTCTATTATTATAAAATACAAGTGGTTGAAGTGTATATACCTTGTATCCTCGTGATGTCTGGTCTTGATAAGAATCTTGTTTTGACAAACTGTTGGGTTTAGATTTCATTTTTGTTGTTTTCTACACTTATTTTGAGTGTTTTTTTTAGGGGGGGGGGAAATAGATCTTTTAAATATAATAATAATAATATGATGAAATTTTTTGCTTCATAAATATTTTTTTTTTGCCTCTGACGCTAAAAACTGAATAAATTTAAAAAAACATATTTGCCCAGTTTTCAATAAATTCTTGTATAAAATCCTGCCTGGATCTGTGGTGCTTAGCTCACAGAACTGTTCCACCCAGAAGTCCGGAAGTGAATCTGGAATCAGGTTCAGAATATCCGAACCCTCTTCTAATATAATTCAAATTAGGTTTTTTTCTTCCGAAAATGTACACATACATCATCAAATCAAATCAAATCAAATCAAATCAAATCAAATCAAATCAAATCAAATCAAATCAAATCAAATCAAATCAAATCAAATTCTCAGGGTGTCGTCCTTGTACTCCCCAAACTTGAAGTGAATGATACTAAGTAATTTCTGGAGAAAGGTCTTATAGCTTATAGACAGTATAGTTTTCACCCTGAACTAACGAAAGAGAGAAGCATTCGGTTTCTTTTATTTGAAATCAAACGTGTTTTCGTCTATAACTCAACAATCTTTAAACTTACAAATTTGTTTATTTTTTACTTTTTCATTAAAAATGTATATGCCAACAAAAAAGTATTTAAGATAAAAGGCTATAAAATTATGTAAAAGGGGTCATATTGTGATTGAAAGTCACAGTTTTCTGAAATATTGACAGAACCGTTAAATCCACGTGTTTTATATTTGCTTTAATTTGGTAATTTTCTCGGATTTTTTGTGGCATAAACTAGATGAAAGTTAAGAATAAGATTCGTTTAAAGAAGATAAAAGTTAAACCACTACAGTGCAAATTTGTTTTTATGAATAAGGTTAAATGTAGTTATTAAAACAGCAAAACCAGATTTTTATTTCTGTCAATATTTTGTAACTGATGTATCTATCTATTGATTAATTTATTAACAGTTTTGCTTACAATCGGTTCTTAGATATACTAAAACCATAAAATACGACTCAGCCCATGAGAGTGAACAAAAAAAGCTTACTGGCTTCGTAAATTTTAAATGTTTGAACATAATTTTTATATTAAAAACAATTTCCGCTATGTCTAGATTTTAACCTATGCTCAGTTTTTATCTTTGATTGTATACAGCGTGAACACAAGAGAGATTTTTACATGACGATATATGCAAGAATCTAGACCAACCTAGTCAACCTAGACCACCTACAATGAATAAAGATAAGCCAGAGCCATAGTTTGACTATAATTACCTTCTTGATCAGTTTCCATTCTATCTCCTGAATTGGTTTTATCATTGGACGAATCCTTCTCAGCAGTAGACTTGTTGTTCTCTAGCTCAGCCTTGTGTTTATCCTCCTCCATAGATATTACAGCACTCACCTGCTCCTGTAAACCTACAATAGTATTTATCTATCAATATATTTTTAGCTTTCTGTGGGTTGTCAGTTTGTTTGCATCAAATGAACCTAGTGGAAGCTTTGCAGGGTACAATATTTAGAAATAGAACCCAGGGTTGGCATAAAAAAAACTAGCCCAAAAGCACCCCCCAAAAAAACAATAAAGGCCACCACAACATTATTATTTTTCATATTCATAAAGTTCAACTATTGCTTAAATAGTCTTATTATTATGAATTAGAATGAATTTTAGTAGGGTTTAATTACGTTTAATATGAAAAACCCAAAAAAAACCCAAAAAAAGCAATAAAACCCAATAAAACCTTATGGTAATAAGTAAAGGTCCCAGCTGAAAAACCAATGTTTATTAAGGACTTATCACAACATTTTTATTTCAATAAGATCAGATAAAAAAGTGTCTCAATTTGAAGTCCAAATGGAACACTGTGTGGGGAAAGAGGATAAGATGTTAACATATCAATAACATACTTTGAGCTTTGATTCGACTAGCCTCCAGTTCCTTCTTGAGCTCAAGTTCACGAAGTTCAGCAGCTTTACAGATTCTATCCATCTCACGCCTGAATATTTTCAAATTCGACTTTTTATATATGAAGAACAGAACATGCTAAATAAATCAGTAATTTAAAAGGCCTTGATGGCAAATATATCCATAGCTGGTATCCAATGTACACACTTTTGATTTTATACTTAATCCTCTTTTTTTTTTGGATATCCCTACTGTATGAAAGTTACGTTTGTTAACAATTACAGATACAATGCTATATCAATTGAACTAATATCCGATTGAATTAAAGTCAGCTGTTTACAAGCCGGCTTTTGAAGCATTTAAGCAAATATAAAATTAAATTAATCAGGTTAATATGAATTTATTAAAAAATATATTTTATCACATTTCAGGACTATCATCATATTTTAAACGTAAGTTTTAAAAAACATTAATCCAAAACTTAACTTAACAGGATACACTGATTGGTTGTATTTTATACTTCTTTCTTGGATATCGAATGCGTATTGAAGTAATCTTGGGTTTAGTAAAACCAGGAGTTTAAGTATTAATCTTGATATCCATCATTCTAAAGTTTTCAGCTCTTTTTAATCAAAAAAAGCTTGTTAGAAATCAAAACTTGAAAAGAAAAGTCGTCTTCATAGTATTCATATAAGCGCATACTACTGTACTCGAACCTGTGCATACGAGAAGTAGTTTAATTACGTCTCTATCTATCCGGTTCAACTACTTGATATTCTAAAAGTCTGTTACGTCTCTATCTATCCGGTTCAACTACTTGATATTCTAAAAATCTGTTATGTCTCTATCTATCCGGTTCAACTACTTGATATTCTAAAAATCTGTTACGTCTCTATCTATGCGGTTCAACTACTTGATATTCTAAAGTCTGTTACGTCTATCTATGCGGTTCAACTACTTGATATTCTAAAAGTCTGTTACGTCTCTATCTATGCAGTTCAACTACTTGATATTCTAAAAATCTGTTACGTCTCTTATCTATGCGGTTCAACTACTTGATATTCTAAAAGTCTGGTCCCTGGAATGTGTAAAGATATTAAGTATTTGCCTGAGATCAGATTCCTGATTTCTCCTGATCTTCTCCTCCTTATCCAGTTCCCTCCTCCTCTCATCCAACCTTTGAACCAGCACATCTATCTCACCCTGCATGTAACAGATTATAGGGAGTATAGACGTAATTTTAGGTAACCCTTCCTTGTCTTAGCTAATCTGATGAAGTTATCCCTACTATTTATCTTAAACTTCTCTGCAATGTGACTTGCGGATTAATGTAGTGGAAGAGAAAGAATAAAATCGACAGAAGTAATCAGGGTCATTCCATGTCAAGTCAGCCACCTGATGGACGGCATGTCACAGATTTTGCTGAAATTTTGCATACAATTTGGGATATGAAAAAAAATCCCGGAACCCGAAGATGAGCGTTCTGAGACCACCGAGGCCGGAGATATGGCTCCGGAAAGTTTCCGATAATTCGAGATTTCGAGGACGGCCTCTATATTTCAAATGGCTCGAACTTTTTTGTTTTAGAAGATAGCTCCAAAATTTTTTCAGTTTTTAATAGGTAATCACAAGCCCGTTATTTGGCGTTAAAAAAAAAATCATTAAAATATTATTTACAGGTCATAATTGCATTTCTTTATTTTCAGCCTCCGTTTGAGGATGTGTACCAATTCCGATTGTGTTGATTTTTTTATATATTTTTATACAACCATAAGGAAGGGGTTAGAAAAGTTAAATTTATATGTATTTGTTCATGTTGAGGAGAAGACCTGATAATGTAATGCTTAGAAAGCTTAGAAATCTTGCGTTCATTAGAAACATTCATGAATCATAATTTAAAAAAATACATACCTGTTTCTGTTTATGTGCTGCAACAAATATATCTAAGTTAACCTGTTTCTGTTAATGCGCTGCTTCAAAAGTATCTAAGTTAACCTGTTTCTGTTTATGCGCTGCTTTAAATGTATCTAAGTTAACCTGTTTCTGTTTATGCGCTGCTTCAAATGTATCTAAGTTAACCTGTTTCTGTTTATGCGCTGCTTCAAATGTATCTAAGTTAACCTGTTTCTGTTTATGCGCTGGCTTCAAATGTATCTAAGTTAACCTGTTTCTGTTTATGCGCTGCTTCAAATTTATCTAAGTTAACCTGTTTCTGTTTGTGCGCTGCTTCAAATTTATCTAAGTTAACCTGTTTCTGTTTATGCGCTGGCTTCAAATGTATATAAGTTAACCTGTTTCTGTTTATGTGCTGCTTCAAATGTATCTAAGTTAACCTGTTTCTGTTTATGCGCTGCTTCAAATGTTTCTAAGTTAACCTGTTTCTGATTATGCGCTGCTTTAAATGTATCTAAGTTAACCTGTTTCTGTTTATGCGCTGCTTCAAATGTATCAAAGTTAACCTGTTTCTGTTTATGCCCTGCTTCAAATGTATCTAAGTTGACCTGTTTCTGTTTATGCGCTGCTTCAAATGTATCTAAGTTAACCTGTTTCTGTTTATGCGCTGCTTCAAATGTGTCTAAGTTAACCTGTTTCTGTTTATGCGCTGGCTTCAAATGTATCTTAGTTAACCTGTTTCTGTATATGCGCTCCTTCAAATGTATCTTAGTTAACAACCTGTTTCTGTTTATGCGCTGGCTTCAAATGTATCTAAGTTAACCTGTTTCTGTTTATGCGCTGCTTCAAATGTATCTAAGTTAACCTGTTTCTGTTTATGCGCTGGCTTCAAATGTATCTAAGTTAACCTGTTTCTGTTTATGCGCTGCTTCAAATGTATCTAAGATAACCTGTTTCTCTTTATGCGCTGCTTCAAATGTATCTAGGTTAACCTGTTTCTGTTTATGCGCTGCTTCAAAAGTATCTAAGTTAACCTGTTTCTGTTTATGCGCTGCTTCAAAGTATCTAAGTTAACCTGTCTCTGTTTATGCGCTGCTTCAAATGTATCTTAGTTAACCTGTTTCTGTTTATGCGCTGGCTTCAAATGTATCTAAGTTAACCTGTTTCTGTTTATGCGCTGCTTCAAATGTATCTAAGTTAACCTGTTTCTGTTTATGCGCTGCTTCAAATGTATCTAAGTTAACCTTTTATGCGCTGCTTCAAATGTATCTAAGTTAACCTGTTTCTGTTTATGCGCTGCTTCAAATTTATCTAAGTTAACCTGTTTCTGTTTATGCGCTGGCTTCAAATGTATCTAAGTTAGCCTGTTTCTGTTTATGCGCTGCTTTAAATGTATCTAAGTTAACCTGTTTTTGTTTATGCGCTGCTTCAAAAGTTTCTAAGTTAACCTGTTTCTGTTTATGCGCTGCTTCAAAGTATCTAAGTTTACCTGTTTCTGTTTATGCGCTGCTTCAAATGTATCTAAGTTAACCTTTTTCTGTTTATGCGCTGTTTCAAATGTATCTAAGTTAACCTGTTTCTGTTTATGCGCTGGCTTCAAATGTATCTAAGTTAACCTGTTTCTGTTTATGCGCTGCTTAAATGTATCTAAGTTAACCTGTTTCTGATTATGCGCTGCTTTAAATGTATCTAAGTTAACCTGTTTCTGTTTATGCGCTGCTTCAAAAGTATCTAAGTTAACTTTCTGTTTATGCGCTGCTTCAAAGTATCTAAGTTAACCTGTTTGTTTATGCACTGCTTCAGATGTATCTTAGTTAACCTGTTTCTGTTTATGCGCTGGCTTCAAATGTATCTAAGTTAACCTGTTTCTGTTTATGCGCTGCTTCAAATGTATCTAAGTTAACCTGTTTCTGTTTATGCGCTGCTTCAAATGTATCTAAGTTAACCTGTTTTTGTTTATGCGCAGCTTCAAAAGTTTCTAAGTTAACCTGTTTCTGTTTATGCGCTGCTTCAAAGTATCTAAGTTAACCTGTTTCTGTTTATGCGCTGGCTTCAAATGCTTGATTTCCTCCAGAAGTTTCTTATTCTCTTCCCTTCAGTTTAAAAATCCGTGTATGAAAAAATACTGAGTATAAAATTAGATATAAAATATATTTGAAAATTAGTAAAAGAATGGTAAAATAAATTTAAAGGAAAATGTGAGTCTGAATAATAAAGGTTAACTAACTGGACTTTAATTGATGCTCATGCAAATTGGTAAATTATCCACATATTCTTTATAGGCACAATTCAAGGGGGGCATAATTTTACGATTTTTCAGCTTTTCCAATGATAAAATAGACAAACATGCGGTAACAACAACAAAAATAGACAAACATGCGGTAACAACAACAAAAATAGACAAACATGCGGTAACAACAACAAAAATACCACAAAAAACAGGTAGCGCTGACTTCTAGATAAAGTATCTGCCAAATCTACCATATTATAGGTAAGATAAACAGGTAGCGCTGACTTCTAGATAAAGTATCTGCCAAATCTACCATATTATAGGTCAGATAAACAGGTAGCGCTGACTTCTAGATAAAGTATCTGCCAAATCTACCATATTATAGGTCAGATAAACGTAGCGCTGACTTCTAGATAAAGTATCTGCCAAATCTACCATATTATAGGTCAGATAAACGGGTAGCGCTGACTTCTAGATAAAGTATCTGCCAACTCTACCATATTATAGGTTCCCAGCTGATGTAATATACATTAAACGGATTTAAATTCCTGAGTTTTTCAATTACATCTTCCGCCTTCGGACCTTCTTCATCAAGGTCGGGGATAATGGTGGAAAATACTTGATTAAAAACAATAAAATTTCACTAGGGGTTTAGGTTCTTACTTCAATCTCATTCATATTATTATTTCTGAACCAAAATTAAATTTAAAGTTAAAATAATCGAAGGTCTTAAAATATTTTGTTCATTGTTTTCCTGCTGTAGTTTCGTTTAATCTCGCCTAGGGTATTCAGGTTAAACCAATAATCAATTGCAGATTAAAAACTATCAAAAATAAAAAAGGGAAATTTTTTGTCGTTTTCTAAAAAATAGATTTCTTCTTTATGTCACCAAAATTCATTTTAAAAACGATACAACATTTCAGGACTGAAATTTTCCTCCTCCCGACTGCAAAAAACCGTAATTTGCAAAACTTTTAAAATTTATTCCAAAATTCCTTTGTACACTGAACGGTCACTAAGTTTGCCGTTGCCAACCCCTAAGATTAAAATTCTCTTTAACTGGTTTAAACTGGTTCCTTTGCTCTATCCATAGGTGCTGGAGGCTCATCAATATCAAATATAGAATCATCATTAATCAACGCCATCGTCATCTCTTGCAATTCAGCTTCAGTCATCTTAAATAACATAAACATAAGGTTAAATGTTAAAGGAATGTAGACGTAATTTCGAGTGCTATATCCAATTCTGCTTCAGTCATCTTAAATAACATAAACATGAGGTTAAATGTTAATAAGAATGTAGACGTAATTTCGAGTGCTATATCCAATTCAGCTTCAGTCATCTTAAATAACATAAACATGAGGTTAAATGTTAATGGGAATGTAGACGTAATTTCGAGTGCTATATCCAATTCCCAAAGGTGCCTTTAAAACGTGTTGAATTCGGGCGCTTTACTAAATTTTCTTTTTAGTATAAATGCGCTAATTACTTAAAAGATAAATCAAATCAAATGATCATTTTTCAGAGAGATAAATTAGGATATCTCATTCTTTTTTTCTGCGATAGATTTAAAGGATACGGTTGTGAAACATGTCAGTCTATTAATATTTTTGTCTAACATTATAGAACCGGCAATATCTGTCACTTTTCCACTTAAACCAAAAAAATCTCTAGTTGCGCCCTGTTATTTAAAAAAGTTGAATTTGTCAGATATTAATCAGATCTATAAAGATTATATGTTTAAAATTTGTTTTGTCAATGTCCTTATTTTCATTAAAAATGGCTACAAATTTGAAAATAAAATATCTCCAAAATGATAGTAAAAAGTAAACAATATATTCTAATGTCTAATTCAGGAGCATTTAAGAGCATTTGTGTAGCCCCCCCCCCCCCATATGTAGGGAGCCTCAACGCGCAAATTTTTTTTATCTTATTTATGTAAACTATTCGATCATATACACACTTCCATAATAACAACTGTTAATAACTTATTTATGTAATTTTCTGAAGTGGACTCAATAGACACTTCCTCTTAATACTGTGGTGTAAGCTTCAATGGGTAAAAATAGAGATGAAAACGTTTCTTTAAAAATATCTATATTTTCATAGAAACGAAACATATTGTAAAATTATAAATAATGATATCAAAGATATATTTAAGCTGAAGGCAGTATTGATTAGAGCTTCTTTCTTGAAACTTTTTTCGTTAAGGGCAAAACTGAGATTTGAAGTATTTGTTATATGGTGCCCCACCCCCTCAGGGGGAACGCGTAGGGGGGGGGCCGGGCACCCCTCTTACGCCGCTGGTCTAAATGTCTTTTTAAATTTCTAAAAGTATATTTCTAGTGGAAAAATATATAATTTCGTGAAATATAAGAATAAATCCTTCTTCTTTAAATGAATTTCCTGACTTGAGATATAAATACCTACACATATTAAAAATCGAAGGTCACGCAAACCCAAGATCACGAAACATTAAAGAGAGAAATTTGACAGAATTCAACACGTTTTACGACTGACAGAAAAACGACGGTTCCTTCTTAATTTCAAGGTGAAACGGTTATCGTTGTGAACAGGCAGTCAACTCTTTTAATGTAAAGACCCCTGAAATTAAGTTTGCACCTTAAAGGATCCATTAAGAAAGAAAACAGAACAAAAAAGACTGAAAATAATAATTCAACAAATTCTTACCGCAGGTTCCGTTCTAGTGTTCATATCTCCGTCTGGTAAACTGTTGAAGTCCACATCAAAATCCCCCCAATCCTCCTCATCCTCCTCCATACTTACAGCTGCAGGGACCTTGGCTTCCTTGCAACCTAGATACAGGGACCTTAGTATTCTTGATACCTAGATAAAGGAACCTTAGTATCCTTCCCACCTTGATACGGGACCTAGTAATCTTGATACCTAGATACAGGGACCTTAGTATTCTTGATATATAGATACAGAGACCTTAATATTCTTGATACCTAGATACAGGAACCTTAGTATCCTTGCTACCTAGATACAGGGACCTCGATATCCTTGATATCACGATACAGGGACCTTAGTATACTTGATACCAATATACAGGGACCTTAGTTTCCTCGATTCCTAGATACATGGACCGTAAATCCTTATACCTAGATACAGGGGCCCTTATATCCTTGATACCTAGATACAGGGACCTTAGTATCCTCGATACCTAGTTACAGGGACATTAATTTCCTCGATACCTAGATACAGGGACCTTAGTTTCCTCGATACCTAGATACATGGACCTTAAATCCTTAATACCTAGATACAGGGGCCTTTATATCCTTGATACCTAGATACAGTGACTTAGAATCCTTGCTACCTAAATACAGGGACCTTAGTACCTAGACACCTAGATACAGGGGCCTTTATATCCTAGATACTTAGATACAGGGACCTTAATATCCTTGATACCCAGATACAGGGACTTGAAGTATCTTTGATACCTAGATACAGGGACCTTAGTATCCTTGCTACCTAGATACAGGGACCAACCTTGATAGCTAAAAACAGGGACCTTAGTATCCTTGCTATCTAGATACAGGGGCCTTAGAATCCTTGCTACCTAAATACTGGCACCTTGATACCTGGATACAGGGACCTTGATTTCCTTTATACCCTGAAACAGGGGCCTTAGAATCCTTGCTTCCTAAATACAGGGACCTTAGTATCGTTGATACCTAGAGACAGGGAACTTAATATCCATGAAACCTAGATACCGGGGTCTTAATATCCTTGATACCTAGATACAGGGACCTTAGTATCATTGATACCAAGAGACAGAGAACTATGTATCCATGATACCTAGATACAGGGGCCTTTATATCCTTGATACATAGATACAGGGACCTTCATAACCTTGATACCTCTAGATACAGGGACTTAATATCCTTGATACCTATAAACAGGGGCCTTAGAATTCTTGCTACCTAAATACTGGCACCATGATACCTGGATACAAACTAGCTACCAGACTTTCTCTCATTTATTTATTAACTTTACATTAGATCCCAAAAAAAGATTAAAAGTCCAAGCTAAATATAAAAACTAAAAATTCACCTGTAAACTGAAATGTTGCCCTGGATGGAACTTTCGGAGGAGGCATTCCCTCCTTGCTAGTTGGAGGGTTGATTGGATTGGAAGCAGGTTTATTTACTGACGAGGTTCCTGCAGACTTAACAGGGTTTAATGAAAGGTTCCGACCTAAAACAAAATCAACTTTAAGAGATTGGAAATTAAGAGATGAATCGACTGATTTTATTGATAAAGTTTATTATTTGATTATAAAAACTAAAATCAGAAAAAGTTTTATTAAAATTGGAAGGTTTAACGTTATCGACAAAGAATAAGAAACGTCGCGAGATCTAATTTGTTTCAGGCGAAGAGATTCAAAAATTAGTTGAACCATGATCAACCTAGTTTAACCTTTTCTCACTAATTGTTCATAAAGGGGATGGTGGAGTTGGCACATTTGATGTAGGGGGGGGGGCCCTGCCTTCATTTTTGGTTCAAATCTTCCAATTTTTTGGGTGCACGCCTAATTAGTGATCGAAATTCATAAAATAAAATCAAATTGAATTTTAATGACCTCTAATGACCTCTAATGACCTCTAATAA